GATAATCGCAGGTTAACAGCTGCAGGGTCTGTTCTGCTGTAGATATTCCTACAAAGCCTCTGTTAGCTACCTCACCAGGACAGTGTATGCATATAACAATAATAAAACCTCTAAAACCTGCCATAATTTGCTTTTTTCCCCTCATTATGCACACACATGCACCATCAGAACTACTGGAAATTGTGCATATTACTGAAATAAGGGTACTTTCTGTGTGTGATTATAAATGGGGGGAGGGAATCATGTTAAAGGGAAAATATACATATTTAAATAGGAAGCAACTGCCCAATCTCTTCTGATGTAATCTAAAGCATTAATAATGCACTTATTAAAATGGTAAATTGGGGCCTGTATAAATTAAAATATTTTACATTGTTTGTTTTTTTAAGGCTCTTTTGGAAGATGTTTTATAGATAGAGGAGAACCCGATTATAGAAAATAGATCTTGTTTCTCAATATGTTTTATATTGTTTCAGATATCCAGAAGAGCTACTTTTTTTTTTGGTCATTTTATTTTCTAGGTAGTAATATAAAGTTATAGAACTATTCCGTAGCAAGTCTCATCTGTTGGCCAAACAGGAACTCAAAGGATTATTAGACAAGTTATGTAGGTTTTCAATAGCTGTTGAAGTAAAAACAGGATATTCCAAAATAAAACATCATAATTGGAGACAAAACTAACGAGTAATGTTGTTTATCAGAGTAGTGAAATTCCACCTATTGTAATATTTTTAAGTGATTAAATTCACAAGAGTTGGAAAAATCTTTAAATACAACCTTATGATGTATTTCATACACAAAAAAATGTAATGTTGATTTATAGGAGGTGTAAAAATATACAAAGAAGAAAGAATATAATAACAGGTGATATATTTGCCCTGTGTGTAAATTTAACTTTTCAGTGCAAAGTTATGGCATACTACTCTTGGAAATGAGGGTCATATTAATGCAGGTTGGAGAGATTCTTTCACATTGAAGCATCATCTGTTATCACCAAATATATTTTTGTTTAAAACTTTTGCTGTGGTCAGGTTCTTGTCATGCATATTACGAAACTTGTCATAATCAACTGGGAGAGGTTCTGCAAATTTAGCTAAAAAAACAGTTTGTTAGATAACAAAGATGATAGGAAACTTAATAGTCCTGCCATATTGTAGCTGTGTCTGTACATAGATGGTCCTTGTCTCTTGTGAATGAGTCTCCTAATTAAAGCAACCAAACACAAAAACTTGGCTCTCCAGGCAGTGGAACCAGTGTTCATGAGTCAGCGGTGTCCAACAGGTCTGTGTAAAGTTTGTGTGTCCCAGCTCAGCAGCAAAATGGAGCTTGAGAGATAAACTGCTCCTTCTTGCACAGTGAAACCCCTTCTATACGCATGCTCATCTATGTATTTCATTGATTAACAGCACTAGTGATCTCACTCTTGAGTTATATACCTTTGTGCTTTAGTCTGGCCCACTCCACAGTGGAGACGTCAGTGCAATTTTATTCCCCCTGCATTGTGTAGACAGTATAATTCTGAATATTGTAAGGAAATCATATGGGGTAAATGAGAACTCCATATGGAGTAATGGTGTAAATGAGAACTCCAAACTATGAGTATTTATGTTGCTCTTAATGCCAACAAAGCATCAGTCTGAGGATGGCTGCAGAGGTTGCCAGTTGCTGTGCTTGGTTATGACCTAACATTTCATTCAACTGAGGAATAGATAGGCCTTTTGGGCCTTTTCCAGGTCTCCCCAGCATCTCGATAGGCTTTGTTGCTGGAGGGTGGAAAGGAGAGCCTGCCCTTTTTCTAAAAGCCCATCCTATTACACCTTTCATGGATGGGTGAAAGCAGCATAGTATATTCTAATGAACTTGTAAGGTGAGAAACATTTTGAAGAATTCCAACACAGAACCACATAGTGAATTACACAGCACAGTAGGCCCCTTTCTGTGTTATATACAGCTCCCAGAGCTGTTCTTGAATTCCCAAATAAGCCATGGAGATAGGGCATAAGATACAGCCCTGGGTTATGCAAGACCATTATTCTATACCTATTTCTGATCTCTGGTAGGGTAGGGGAAATGGAGCCAAGCTGATGTTTGAGAATTAAGAAGTTTTAGGGAAACACAGGAGGCAAGAACAAAATATGAGAAGGACTAGAGGTGGTTGTGAGACTACTGTAGCTTTCACTAGGAGGTCTGTAGGCTTCTAGATGCCCCAGAGAGAGCAGGATAGCAGGTAACATAGAACTACTTCTGGTACACAGTCTTAACCCATTCACATTTTGAGTCACCATAAATGGGAGTCGGTATAGACTTCATGTGAAACTTCTATCCCAATTAGAATCATAGAATAGTTAGGGTTGGAAAGGACCTTAAGATCATCCAGTTCCAACCCCCCTGCCATGGGCAGGGACACCTCACACTTAGCCATGTCACCCAAGGCTTTGTCCAACCTGGTCTTGAACACTGCCAGGGATGGAGCATTCACAACCTCCCTGGGCAGCCCATTCCAGTGCCTCACCACCTTCACAGGAAAGAATTTCCTCCTTCTATCCAATCTAAACTTCTCCTGTTTAAGTTTTAACCCGTTACCCCTTGTCCTATCACTACAGTCCCTAATGAAGAGTCCATTCCCAGCATCCCTATAGGTCCCCTTCAGGTATTGGAAGGCTGCTCTGAGGTCTCCACGCAGCCTTCTCTTCTCCAGGCTGAACAGCCCCAACTTTCTCAGCCTATCTTCATATGGGAGGTGCTCCCATGTGAGACATAACAATATTCGAAACAAAAAATTGATAGTGCCTACAAGGAAAATACAAGTAGCTTGCTTGGATCCAATACATGTGCAGGTTTGTTAGGTTTCTTTGACTTAGTGCACTATATGCCACTGGATTTGTTCATGTTGCTTGTCACAGAGAAAAGCTCTTACTCAGCTGTTTCAGCCCCTACTACACCAGCTGCATAATGAGGCATATTCCTCATTTGTCTCTGGCAAGCTTTTTCCACAGCAAAACTGAATGTTTGGCTTTGTTATTGTTGGCAAGAAAGTAGACTGTTGTCCTCTCATTGGTAATACCGGTTCGGTTTCCACTGCAGACCTGATACCTTGCATAGACAGCTTCCTTAACAAAGAAGGTGGGCAATGTAGAATCTCATCCACAGATTAGGATAATCTGATTAGGATAAACTGCAGTGTATTCCTTATTTTTTGTTTCTTTGACTTTAGTGTGGGGGGGTTTATTGTATGAAAACTTTTTTGATGAGCTGGCTTCTCTTTGTCTTGAATGCCGTTATCTGTATTTTCATTTCTGGAATAATAGAGAAGACCCAGGCAGGGGCTGTAATGTGTTCCTGAGATACTTCCCAAGAGTAATGTTTTCTGGTGGGTAACAAAAGAATGACCAGTGCCTTTTCAACCTTGTGTCCTTTCACAGTGAGGAGCTGCGGTTCAGCAGAACAGACTGAACCAGATGCTTGAATCTTCTCCTATTGAGCATCAGACATGTTTAAATCTTACTGGAACTAAAACTAAGCTCTTTGCTGTAATAAAACTTATAAATAAAATCTTAATCACCCAAAGAGTACATTTTAATTAGAAGCAGAAGAAACTCAGCAGAAAAATTAGGGATTGAGTAAACTCATAGGAACAGTAGGAGTATTGCATGCGCACCACTTTTTTCCATGGGCTCTCCAGAGCAATAGATAAAACACAAAGAAGCTGTCATGTAAAGGAACTTGTAACTGAATCAGACCACACATGTAATACCTGAGTCAAAGGCTTTATTTTTAGGAGGAATAGGGCAATCCATTGGTACTTTGGGAAACCATCAATGTAAGAGTTCATGGAAGATGTTTGAGGAGCAATTTAATGATGAGAAAGGCACAGAGTGACTGATAGAGACTGATAGAGGGACCTTTTCCAAGGGTCTGTAGTGACAGGACAAGGGGAATGGCTTTAAACTGACAGAGGGGAGTTTGAGATTAGATATTAGGAAGAAAATCTTTACTTGTGAGGTTGGTGCCACTTCCCTTTGGTGGCTTCTGGTTGTTGTGACCAAAGCCTCCCCTCAAGCGCACACATACAGGTCCTGCTGCTTCCAAATGCATCTGGAGGAAGAATTAGTCCCATACCCACAGTGAGTTTGGTTTCAGTGTTACTCAAACACATTTTGCTTGCATGTGTCCCTTATTATCTCCATCATATTGGCACACGTCCTTTATTTTCTCCTTTCTTCCTTCAGCCTCAGGCTGAATAATGCAAGGTGAATCACTGATAAAATGGTATTGTAGGAAAGAATATGAGAAGCAAACTCACAGTCACTGGATAAAGAGAACAGATTCTGCCTCCTGACAGGACCAATATGAAACTGGTTTCTGTCTAACAGGTAATCTAATCAGTAATGTCACAAAATGGTTAGTAACACATCAGAAAACATTTTCTGGAAAGGAAGCACGTTGCTTAGTGGTGTTGCACCCAGGTATTATGGGCAGAACATAATTTTTAAGTACATTTCAGTAATCTGGAAGTTGCAGTTTAATGAGTTGTTGATAGAGCATTCATACATGCACTCATCCATTAAACTTACACTGCAAAGAAAGTAAGGACAGCTGCTGAAGTTTATCTGTACTGTCTGGGGCTTGAGGAAGGGTTAGTTTTTGTAGAATCATAGAATGCTTTAGGTTGGAAAGAACCTTAAGATCAAGTTCCAACCCCCTGCAATGGGCAGGGACACCTCACACTAGACCAGGTCACCCAAGGCTCTGTCCAACCTGGCCTTTGAGCACCATTTAGTACAAATAGAGACAAAACAGGCATAAATTTGAGGGGATGGTTATGTGCTCAAAATGCCAGCAATACAAGATGTTTATTTAACACTGAGTGTATGGTATGAGAAATACACAAACACACACATATTTCTAGAAATTATAACACAATTGCCTTTGTTTTTAAAGGAATTATTTTCTTATTCATGGTTTGTTTTAATTTACTTGCTTGTAAATTATTTTGGAAGGTTCTGGTGAAATGTAGTAAGGGAAACTATGCATTTCCATGCATGTAAAACAGGAAAATGATGTGATTGTGGACAAACAATGTCTTCCATTGTAAGTTGTTTTTCTCACTGTTGCTAAGACTTTTGTAACTAAACAGGCATTGTGATCTGAGAGCAATTAGGTGCCAGCGGTGCATTTTAATGATAGAAGCAAATCTTAATAGCTTGCCTCTACCACAGACCAGCTCTGAGGCTGTCAAAGAGAAGACCTGAAGTTTTCCTGCACCTGAATATCCTTGAATAGACAAACTTTTTGCGGAGAACTTCAGCAAAAGAAAGAGTATCAGTGGTGGAAGGGGCTGATCAAACACATGGCATGTCTCTGATCTTTGGTCTTCCTGGAATTGTGGTTGCCAACATAAATTACAGCTTCCTGGAGGCTGCTCTAAGTTATACCAGGATGATGGGAGTGTGTTTATAGCATCATGTTGGTTTGGCTCTTCCTTCCCACTATGCTTTTCTCAGCTGCCAGACCTTAATTACAGAAAACAATTAGTTCTGCTACTACTGCAATGAAACGTATTCACATGAATTGACAAATGGGTGATACTGTTTAAAATCAGGTTTTAATATTTTCTATGGATTTGAAAAGGTTTTTATTATCTGGGCAAATGCAAATAGCCAAATTACAATAATACAGTGCTTTTGTATGTGCTCAGGAACTTGCTTGATCAAATAGTTGGGTAAATATAGACAAAATGGAATGCCTTGTCTACAGACACATAGAGTAATGTATCTGTATTTATAATGCATGTATTTCCTGAATGAGATACACAGATAGACGAGTACATTTGTGCAGATGTGTATCTTCCTTGCTCTCATCCACACCCCCCTTTTTCTATAAATATTGTTCTTAAAGGAAATAGACTTTGAAAGGGGCAAGAGGTTCTAGTAAAGGATTTAAATATGTAGAACCCTTTTTCTTCCTCTTTGAAAGGAGCAGTCAGTCATAGCTCTCATTTAAAGTTAAGCTATGAAATGTCTCTGAGGAGAATTTCAGACTCTCTTTCCAAACACCACGGAGCCAAGTATGGTTATTATCTGAATTTAATTCAAATCATATGAACCTTCCTAGTTTTTTGCCATACTAAAGACTTTTTTCTCCTTTTCAATCTGGCAATGCATTCATCAAGCTATGGGCAGACCCCACTCACATAAAGGAGTAGTTTTGTGAGCTTTATGGCTTACAGAGTATTACAGGTTCAACACATTTTGTTAAAGATACACTAAAACAACCCCTTATCTATATAGTAACAGAACCTCACCATACAATTAGTTTTGTGTGAGTTATAAATGAAAAAGAAAGAAAACAGAAGTTTGAAGAAATATCCTTAAACTACTGTATCTAGATAAATATTCCAGCCCTTCCAGGATAGCTCACACATACCACAGACCCTCTCTTCCTCTGTCTCCTGCTCAGTCCAAGAGGTGGTTTGCTTGGATGAGCACAGGTTGGTCATCACAGCAATGAGTCCTCATTCTGGCTTGGATACTCTCCAAGGACAAATCCTCTCAATTCTCCAGTATTTTGCAAGGGGACAAGAATAATAATTACCCACCTACTTCATTGCAGCCCTGTCAGGCTGAATCAATGTCTTCTCAGTGCCTGGGACATGTAAAATGCTATATAAAAATGTGAAATAATATTCCTTCCCAAGCATACAGCCAGAATTTGCACTCTTTGGAGGAAAGAGGATGGGGGATAATTGCAGCCTGAACTTTTCAAACGAGCTACTCAGGAAGGGCACAGTCAGCATCGGAGCAGCCACATCCAGGGTCTCCAAAGGCCTCTGTGTTTATGGACACTCCATGGTGAGATGTCCTGGAAGTTTTCCAGACCTGTTCGTTCCACCTCTACAAGTACATAGAATATTTTCACTTTAATACCTCTTGCATGGAAAGTATGTTGAACATGCTTTCTCAGCACACTGCGTATCCACAGCCTATGCTATGGATTTTCCTGTTTCTCCCTTCCACACAACCCTGGCTGTGTCTGCTGGGCTTTCAGGCTTTGGCATCGCAGCAGGGTGCTCTTCCAGCACTTTCTTCTGCCCGCTGCCTATTTCAGTGCTCCTGTGAGCCTTGTTCCTTCCGATTGTTGTCACATGTATCGGTCTGGATTCATACCCTTTCATTAATTCCCAGTTTAGTGTGTTTATACTGCTGTTCCAGTGAAGCCAGGACTATCCAGTTTCTAGGAAACAGCTCTTATTTATTCTTTGGATACTGCCTATATTGCCGTATTTCAGAATAATTTTCATCCGTGTTATATTTCACTGAGTGGGTGCTTTAATAAAAATGATTTTAAAATTATTATTGCATCATAGCAACCCCCACAGCATCACAACAATATATGTGGTTAGCTTGTATGTACCAGGCGGTTGCAAAACATGCACAAATTGCAATGTATTGGCAGTAAGGATAACTAAATGCAGAAAAAAAAAAACCCTCATGTGGGACCAAAGCAAAAGTCTTGGAACTGAATTTGAACAACAGCCTTCAGAGAAGCCCAGAGCAGAGGAGGCTGCTCAATCCTCCCCCTGTTACAATCCCTGTGCTAGTCTGAGCTCTCTGCAGCTTTCTGGCTTCAGGTTTTTAAAGGTAGTTTGGGAGTTTAGACACCCAAATACCATTCAAATGAATAGAGTTTCTGTGCCCTTTGGCCTCGGGGTTCTATCTTGATGTTATTTATGATATTTATGATAACGTAACTCCTCAGGTCACACAGCAATGACTTGCACACCTATCTATAGTCTAGTGTAGTATCTTTCTAATAAAAGAACAGTGGCACAGTGAAAACAGTCATGATCCATGTTTGATAAATAATAAATGTTAACCTTCTTTCAATAAATGGCCTAAATACCAGGAAACATGATGTGCCCAAGCAGGATTTTAAAAAGCAATCATTTTTTTTGCATTAGTCCCATAAGAAAATCATCTGGGACCCAGCAGCACATGAATGATCAAAATGTTTCCCATTAAATTTCCCTAACATGTATTTAGCACAAACTAAAATTTGGCTTTATAGGCATTTTATAAACTTCTCAGTAGAAAGCCTGAAAGCTGACCTTTGATAATGGCTAAATTCCTGTTTAAAAAGGGGCTGAAGGCTCATAACGTGTGTAATTATCTAAGAGCTGGCAGTACTACTTTTCATCTTTCATATAAGTGTAGTTGGAAAGAAAGGTATGTTTAACACTATTTTGTACAATGAACCTTCTTATTTCATTAAAGCCAAGGGATATGAAGAGTGGATTACATGGGCCAAGGTGAGATTGCCTGTTCCAGGGATACAAGAGGCTGAGTGTTTTGTAAAAGAAGGCAGTTCTGTATCCTTCCATTCCTTCTTGGAGAAGATCACTACTGTAGGATCTATGAGTCAATAGTCAGCTTGGGATATGGCTGCTCAGGTGGTCAGAGCCTTGTCATGGGCCAGTGGGAGCACTGGTGGGTACCCCAGTCCATTAAGCCTCTAATACCAGAGCTAAATAAATATTGCTGTCACCCTGCACAATTCCCACGTGCTTAATATAGTCTATTGAAGAAAGAAAGCCATGAGATGGTCTTTCAACAAAGAGCCAACAATTTTTTTTCATAGGATGACCATTAATATCATCTTAATCATCTAGTATTTTAACATAATGGAAATGGACTTCAGCACACGTTAAAGACAATTATACCAAAACCCTGAGAACATGTTACAGGTTATCTCTTGGAAACAGCCTTTGGGATAAGATCCAGCAGATACGATAAAGCATACTGCAATCTGCCCATTAATTCAGGTTCTACATTGCTTGGTGATGGCAAATACTTGTAACACCACTTTGTTTAAAGCAAGTTTCAGTTCAGGGAAATTCTGAATTTGGTTTTGATTTTGTTTCTTAGGCTCCCACAATTTAGTAAACTGCTGTGAAACAGAATTTTGGCAACACAGTTTGACCATGTAATAAACAGTGATCTTGCACTCTGGAGGCAGGTCCAATACTTTGCTAGTGTAAATACTGTCTGCATACATGGTATCATATCAATGCAACCATTGTGTACTTTCAATGCACAGTTGAGAGAGAACTTTTTATAAATAACTTTTCTTTACCCATTTCCTTCATGTTTATAAATCTCCCATGGGAATTCTTACACATGTGGAAATGTTAATATAAGTCCTTTTATTGTTCCTGTTGCTGTAGTATGCGAACGTTTCACTGTCTTTGACACGTGACCATGGGAAATCAGCTAGAAATCTTTATCTCATTTGGGCAGCAACAAGGAGAATTAAAATGTGCACATACCCTTCCAGCTAGTTCTGAATTAGGTCCTGCGCATTGCAGGTTTAGGAAGAGGAAGAAAGACATCCCCTAACGCCACCCAAGCAGGCAGTTGCTAAAGCAGAACTGGAAAGGGGGAAACCAAGAGCAGGGTCTCCCCATGATTTTCATGTTCATGGTCATGACAGAGGAGCAGATTGGATGAGCTGTGCCAGCCCAGAGTTCTTGCCCCTGAACAGCAATGGAGCAAGAGAGGGGAAGAGGTGGAGGACTTCACTGCACGTCTCCTCACCTGCTTCTCATCTTCTGTAGAGATGCTGTGGCTTGGGGAGGGACTAGGGTTATCTTAAGAGCAAGAGAGTGTAAAAGGTTAGAATAATTATACACTAATCACGTTCAGGAAAAATTAATGCAAAGTAATGAAAGTGGTATTAAACCTATTATTATATTTAGGTTTTTATATTTCTTTTCAAATGTACCTAATTGGTATTTTTTTTTTAGTAGGGAACATTTGAATTCAGTTATTACTGTAATAGAGTTTGCCAGAGTTCTTATGGCAATTAGTGTTTCCTCCTTGATTTTTGAATGCCAATCCCACTATTCTAAGGGAAGAAACCATGCTAAAAGCCCATTGTTAAAAATCAACAGGCTGATTCAGACTGGTTATATTTAGGTTACATTTAACTAAACCCAGTTAAGTTAATGCACCTTATGTAGCAGAACAAAAAAAAAAATAATACAGGAAAAGGTTATTTGCACATTGGCTCATTTTCTTTTCCTTAAATTCCAG